GCAGACCTGGAAGGATCCCCTCCCACTTCTGCCGTAACCATCACAACTTCTGGATTAGCCAAGTCCAAGTGGAAATAGCCGTCAGGGTAACCCTGGCCTTGAGCCCTGAGATATTGGCACCTGATGGGCTTTCTTTTCTGAGTTAGGAATCTAGGAGTTTTTCAGCTCTGTGTGTAATTCTCACAGATTTCTTGGGATTCTTACTGACTGCCCCACAGATTAGAAAATGTGTTCAGTGTCTCTTAATTCTTATTGCTCTCTTATCTCTTCCTGTTTTTCTGCCTCTGATGTTGATGATGACTATGGTGATGTTAGCAACAGTTGCTTATTAGATGCCAGATATTGGGTAAATGCTTTGTAGAGCATTCACTCATGTCATCTAAGTAGCAAAGCAATGAGTGCCATAGAGACCATGTTCTCAGAAAGGGGAAGTGGGGGCCAGAGAGGGTCAGGCTTGCCACATAGCTGGGAGTTGGCAGAACTGGGGCTTGAATGCAAATCCATGGATTCCAAGGGCCATCCTCTTAACCCTTCTGCTTTCCTGCCTTCCTGCTGTAGCTCATTTGTGGCTTTTGTTTGCTAAAGGTATCTTCTTCTCATACCTAGCCCCAGAAGATGATGACCTATATGTGTGTTCTTACTGAATTGTGTTCCTTATATGACGTTTTGGGATGTCATTAATGCCAGGGGTTCTGGTAGCCTCCACGTCAGCCCTGCATCTCTGCATCTCTGCGTCTGCCTCCTTCCAACAGCATGGCCTGGTGGATGGTGGTGGAAGAATGACAGGCCAGAATGGGTCCAAGGAGGGAGTAGATAACCTAAAAAGGGATGAGAAAGGGATTTGCCCTAAGATTTGCCGTGGGTGACCCTCCCATGATGACAGTGACTACTGGGTTTTTACTTCCTTATCTAAGAGGAAGATCATGGGCATCAGAGTTAGACCGACCAGGGAAAGAACCCAGATTTTTCTACTTAAAAAGCCTCTCTGCACCTCAGTTTCCTAATTCGTGAAGTGGGGATGATGATAGCAACTTGATGGGGTTGCTGTAAGATTAGAGACCGCATAAGCAAACCCTCTGTAAAAGGAGCCCATTATTACATTGATAACACTGAATCAGAGGAAAGACTCCTTGCAGACACTTCCAATTCCTTAATCTGATCCACCCAGGGAGCATTTATTGTCTCACTGAGGGTTCCTCAGCTGTAGCTGCGTGCTGGGAGAAGGCGGCATAGAATTCAGAGATGTGCAAACAGGTCCTGATTCCTTGGTTCGGTGATTCGCCACCACTCGGACTGTGTGTCCTCCTAGGAAGGGTCGTCATCGATACGTACACCCCTCTCACTGCTTTCTCTCCCACCTCCTCCCTCCTGGGCAAAGAAGAGGGGATCTGATCAGAGTTGCTTTTCTTTTGGGAGTCTGGGGAATTAGAAAGCAGCAGGGCTAGTTCTAGAACTCTATGAGGACACAGACTTTGTCTAGAGTGACCACTGATGTAGCCCCATCAGCTGAAAGAGGTGTGCACTGAATCTTTGTGGATTACATAAAGCCTGAATCCTCAGAGACTCTTTGTTACATGTCTGTGTCAGGGTTTCTTGGCGTTAACTCTGGTGACCTTTTGGACTAGATAATTCATTGTTGTGGGGCTATCCTGTGCCTTCTACCCACTAGATGCCACTGGTTATCCCCCTCAGGTGTGATGACAGGAAATGTCTCCAAATATTACCACCATATGTCACCCTGGGGGGCAAGATCACGCCCAGATAAACACCTTTGGCTGCAGAGCAAGGGCTGGGTTGGGTTTCTGTTGGGAGGTTTCTGTTTGTAACATGAATGGAATAAAAAGACTTTTAAAAGATAGAAGAATCGACTGTATATGTGAGACGAGTAAAACTGTGTCTCTCCTCAAAGTCCATGGCCAACATTTATGTTCCGGTTGGTAGAGCTCTCTTTCAGAGTAACGGGGAGGACGGGGTGTGGGACGGTCTGCCCAGCACCACAGCTCTGGCGGGAGCAGCCTGTTTTGCTACTTTAAGAAACAGTAACCGTAGACACTACAGCTTCTGGTTCAACTTTGAACCAGTGAGTCCAGTCCGGACTGACCTGTTTACAAGACAGATGATTTTAAAATCTCAGCCTGTTTACCCTGTTAAAATTGATTCCGTGGCTATGGCCCAGTTCTGCTTGTTAAAGCCATCCTAGGGCGGGCCTGAGGCACAGCGTGATTTTTCAGGGACTCTCAGGATCGGACTTGGCTCGCGGAAGAATGTCGTTCCTTGCGCTGGCCACGCCAGGCACTGAGTACAATCAGAAGTTCCAGCATCGTTGTTTCATTACTTTGAAACCTGGAGAGCCATAAAACTGTCCAGCAGCTGCAAGAAACCCTTGAGATCCCAGAATCCAACCTTCCCTGTGAAGAACTTAGGAAAGAAACCAGGGTGCAGAGGAGCTGATGTATTTCCTTCAAATGCCCATACATTCACATCACAACACGCTAATCAGAATAGACCCATCATGGAGGGTGATCTGTTTTAGCGAGAACCTTCTCTCCTCGGCTGCCCCAGAAAGGTGATTCTCAGAAAGCTGGGTGGCCAGGGTTCAATGCCGTAAAGGAGGTAGAACATTTAGCACACCAGTGGGAATGGAGTTACTGCACACCAGCCCCTCATACTGTCATCTCACACAGACGGTGCTGCCTTCTCGTCTTATTCTAGAGCCCTTGCTTGGACTCTGGAAACTAGGTTTTTAAAAAAAAAAAAAAAACTTGGACATTGAAACTGAGGGGCCCTAAATGATTTTGTACAATTTTCTCCTCCACTGGAATAGAATTAAAAGACTGGAATATAGAGACAGAGGCATTTAAAAAGAGGCATAGAAAGCACATGTTCATCAGAAACTTTTTCCAGGCTAAATGGTGTTATCCTCGCATTTTGTTAAGTTGACATAATGCTGTCTGAGGCGAACATTCAAATACTCAAGTTCTACACGTTGCACATGGAACTGTGACTTTAAAAAATAGTAAAACTTAGAAATATGCTGTTTTAAAAATGAAAGAAAGGCAAAGTACATTTCTTTCCTTTGGGTCCCAACAAACCTTCATCCTGTTAGTGAAGGAGCTCTCTCTTTGCTCTCCTGTGTGCTTTGGGTGACACAGGGATGTCTTGCTGGGCATTTCTAGTGGACAGGTCAGCTAAACTTCCCAAAGGGGGGAAAAAATCAGCATTGGAATAAATGCCAATAGATTTTCTTGTAAAAGGGAAAGATTTTTCATGTGAAAATCTATCCAGAAAAAAAGTTCAAGGTCTGTTTAGTGGGTTTTTTTCCACAATCTTTTTATAATCGAAGCCAAAACCAGTATAAAAACCTGCATTAAATAGTAGATTAATACTTAATCATGTCAAGGCACTCTTTGTGGACTGATGAATTCATCTGGGGCCCAGGCACTGTCCTAGCTAGATGCTGACGAATATCTCACTGTTTACCACTCTCTTCAGCATAGTTGTTTTAGGCTTCAGGTCTAGCAAGAAAATGCGATCACGCTGGTTATTGTGGATTTGCTTTTTCTTTTCTTTTCTTTTCTTTTTTTTTTAATGCCCAATATATTTATGGACAACTGGAAAAGAATTGGAAGCCCATGCATTAGGGTAGCTTTAATTTATCACAACACCGACTTAACAGGCTCCTTTGCCCTCAGACTAGTCCACAATTATGCTTCCTTAGTGACCTTGAAGCCAGGGAACTGTATTCAGAAGGACATTTTTCTATTCCATTTAGACACCAGGGAACATTGGTCTGTAGTTCCGGGAGTTTAGTCTGTTAGAGCCCTGTCACTCCGGTGTCATGCCTACCCCACACCTGGGCGTGACCCTTGTCTTGGCTGCCCTCTCTGCGTCTCAGCTGTGCAGTAGTTTTGTGAGTCTCCAGAAAGTGCAGCGTCTTGAGGTTCTGTGGAATCTGTGAGGGTCAGTGGCTGCTAAATATCACATTTTATAGATTCCGGATCCTAGTGAATTGACTGTGAGCCAGCATGTTCTCCTCTCAGCAAGCTTCATTTCCCACCTTCCCACCGGACACAGGGCTTTCAAGCATTATTTGAGAGGTGAATTTTCCCCTTTGCCTGGACATTCCTGGGTCCCGACAGTCTTGAGCAAGAACTGCTAGTTCAGTATAGGAAGAAGGAAGAGGTAGCAAGAAGTGAGACTCTTTGCTTCTAAGGACTGATGAGACCTTGTTATGTTGCTTCTAACCCCAGGAATGGTGCTGGGGTAAGGCCTGTCCCTAGCGCCCGAGTTTTCCGCTGAATAAACCTGTCGTATGTTGCCATCTAGTGGACCATATGGCAAACTAAAGATTAATGTATTCTGACCGCAGAATTCCCCAGAACTAATTGAATCAGCCTGAGAAAATAACTGAGTTTTTCTGAAAGCACATGTTGGGGAAATATATGCAAATTTCAGGTGAAGCTAAAGTTGACTTTTAGTAATCATGTTTTCCTAAATTTGGCAAAAGGTTACTCTGTTTCTTAAGAGTTCCTGAATATTTACCACCAGAGAACTAACAAGTTTTTCAAACATGTCACCGGGCCAAGAGCCTATGATTTCAGTCACCTGTACTCTGGGCACAGTTTCATATCCAAAGTTCTAGCAAAAGGCTTGGTTATTGCAAGGTTATTATAGTATTTTTTTAAATGTGATTTTTTTAAAGGTTTAGTATTTTTTAAAATATGATTTTTAAAAGTTTCCAATATCTTTCTTACATACATTTCCTTTTTTTTTTTTTTTTTTTTTTCCCATTTCCACCGAATAAATGTGCTTGCTTTTAGGAGAGACAGACACATGACTTCACGGAGTAGGAATTTCACATTTTAAATTCTAAATCACATCCCAGAAATGTCTGCTGCTGTGGTTTCAGACCTAATTTGTATGAAAACCTGCAGACTGACTTCGTGAACATTGACTCCTTGTTTCGCTTGTGTCTTTGCTCTTTATTTCTGTTTCCTTAGATCTCTTCCTGGTGCCACAGCCGCTGAGTGTGCTTCAAATCTGAAGAAAATCTACACAGTACAGACAGTGCAGGTAAGATCCGGAAACGGACGTACCCAGTGAACACAGTGTATGGGGGACATTTGATCTTCCAGCCAGAAAACGGCTGCTCGGCAGGCAGTCCCCACCCGGGGTTCTGTCCCCCGGTTAGCTCTCAGGTCTTTTGGTGGCTCTGTGCTTAACTAGGTGTAACCCAGAGGCTGGTTGAGCCCATATCCAGGTGGCCTGCTGTTCTCCTGGGGACCTACTAAAACATAGTAACTGCCTCAATATTTTGTATATCCTCGAGAGGAGCACACTGTGGTGTGTCCCTTCATGGGTCTGTGTCCCCATTCAAATGCTAACGCAGCCACTCCCTCTCTGAGCTCTGAGCTCTGTTTCCTTCTCTGAGATGCAGTAGCATCCCCCCTGCAGGCTTACCTAAGGCTACGGGTCACACAAGAAGAGCAGGTACGGGTTGAGCATGAAAGTGGAAGGTCTCAAGCCCGTTTCCTACTTCCCGTTCAACTTCCATCATTCTAAATTAAGCAAGCATCAACACCTTTAATTTCTGTAAAGTGGGTATAATATGAGTACCTCTCTCTGGAGTGGTCAGGAATAGTAAAGTACTGTGCCTAGCAGGATACCTGATACACTGTAGCTTCTCAACACATGGAAGCTCTTAGTCCTGGCCATTCTTTCTCTAACCAACCCTTTTGAAGAAGATTTCTGAAAAACCTGATTTATTTAGTTGATCACATTTCCATTTTCTTTAAAAGTGTGTCTTTTGAAGTCTGTCAAGTATGTCCCCCTTTTTGAGGTTAATGCACAGTTATAGGCAGAATAAGGATTTAAGGCTGCTGTCTACTTGCAGTGACTATCTTTAGAATGTTCTAGAAGGGCCCAATTTAACATGTTCCTGTTGTGCCTCTAAATCTTTTAATGCTGCTGGACATTTAGAACTAGCACAAAGATCCTTTTTTTCAGAACTTCTCCCACTCTCTGTTTCAGAAAATTTGATACTCTCAGTTTTCTGCGGTCCCCAAAATCTGATGGTAAGGTGCCATGCATGGCCACTGAGCCAGATGTAAAGACACAGTCCAGACCATAGTCCATTTCTGATCTAGTTGGGAAAATGGCATAAGCATGTGGAAAGCAAAAGAACAGTGCTGCTGTAAATAATCATGTGGTGCCAAGTACAAGCAGTGTCACAAGGCAGCACGTGGGCCACTATCCAGAGGAATGAAGGGTCTCCGATTCCAGGAAAGGCTTCCCCTTGGTTTTTCCCTGTGGTGATGTGGACTTTCATTCCCTCTTATGTAGCAGTCATTGTATGAACCTCGGAACGCTTGATTTTGAAACCTGTCTTCACATGGAAGTTCTTAGATCCCTTTGACTTAGGAAGGTGCTCAGTAGACTTTTCCTACTGCATTATGACATTGGGTCTCAGAGCTCTGCCTGGGACTCCAGGGCAGACGTTGGTAAAGTCAGATCACGGGGTCTGTTTGTTTCCCTGACCCTGTGTGACCACAGACCATTTGGTTGAGTCTTGGCATCTAGCAGCAAGTCAGAAAGGGTCTTCAGGACCAATTTTTAGAGTACCCAGTTGGCACATACTAGGAAATACTTTCTTGAAAACTATATTGGGAGATAATTTATATTCGGTAAATGTAGATTACGTAAGTATGCAGTTTGATAAGTTTTGACAAAGGTATGCAGGCATGTAACCATAACCCGATCAAGATAAAAAAGATTTGCATCGTCAGTAAGTCCCTCCTTTCCTTCTGTTTATCCTTCTCTTCCATAAGCAGCCACTATTCACATTTCTATCACCATATATCTTTCTGTGTTTTACTGAACATCCTATAAATGGAATCACACAGTACCATATTCTCTTGTGTCTGTTATTCCTTTCCCCCAATAAATACTGAAGGATTGGGGCACCTGGGTGGCTCAGTTGGTTAAGTAGCCAACTCTTGATTTTGTCTTGGGTCATGATCTCAGGGTCCTGGGATCGAGCCCCCTGTCAGGCTTTCCACTGAACAGGGAGTTGGCTTGAGGCTTCCCTCTCCCCCTCTCCCTCTGCCCCTTCCCACCACAAGCCCACCACGACCTCTCTCTTTCTCTTTCTCTCAAATAAATAAAATCTTTTAAATAAATACATACATGTATAGGACATACTGAAGGACCGAGGGATTGAATGAGAAGTTAAGAAATGAACCACTTTTCCTGAACCACAACGAACTACTTGCATAAGGATCCTTTAAGCTGTTGGCTCCATTCTTAATGGGGGCAAAAACTGATCCTTGGTGGGGTGAAAAATCCTACTATTTTTATACATAAAGCATAGCTGTATATCCAGTACATAAGCAAATGAACAGCTCTGCTGTGGTATTAACATTTCACAAGGGAGTGATTAGAAAAAAGGGCTCTTTGGGGGTGGGGCGGAGGGCCATGATATTGAAACACTGCCCCAAGTGGTCAGGAGGTTCTTTTGTATCTCCCATGTGCCTCTGTCCACCTTGGTTTCCTTATCTGTCGGGCTGAGGTCAGAGTGCTACCTACTCCCTAATGTTGATCTAGGGTTAAATGAGATTGCATATGGTTCTTAGTCGTGCTTGGCACCTCATACCCAGACTTTGGCAGCTTTTCCTAAAGTGGTGTTGGATGCTACCCCTTGGCGTCATCAGTTGATAGGCGAGGATGTGGGTGAGGGTGTAGCGTCGTCACGCTGCCTGGGTTCCTATCCTGTATCTGCCACTCACTTGCTCGTGCAAGTTGCTTAACTTCTCTGTATCTGCTTACTCATCCCCAGGATGGGAACAGTCTCAATACTGATTGTATCACGGGGCCCTGAGAATGAAATGGCACAAGGAGGTGAAAAGCCCATGGTTGGGTCCAATAGTAATAATAATAATAATAAGAGGCCCGTCTCCCGTGGCTCACCAGCTTCTCCTGGAGCATCTTTTCGCGTTGCCCTCAGTCATGTTTTCTCTCAGACAGCTGTGCGCCACTCCTTTTCTGTGATTTATTTCAAGCAGTTGTTCCCCAGATGATGTTCCTGCTGCCACCCCGACTGGGGAAAACACATTTAACTTATCAGTAAATTCTGGGATTCCAGCCTCTGCATGTCTTCAACATTTGCGAACGGTCCTGAGTATTTAACAACTGGCTTTGGTGCCAGTTTTTAAGTCATTTGAGGACGTGCTTTGGTTCCCCTGTGTTCTTATTCTGTGGTTATATATCAATTCTTGGGCCTTCACTCTTTCAGCTCTAAAAAAACCTGCATCCCTGATTCTGTCTGTGATTTTCCCCCCTATCTCTGTCTGGGTGAAATTGAGCATCCTGTGTTATTAATGACTGCTTTATACAGCAGGATAAAATACGTCTCTTTGTACTTTAAAGCCCTTCAGTAAATCAGAGGTGTTGATGGGGGTGGGGGAGGAATTGTTATTCCCATTTATTAGCTGCAGAGACTGAGGCTGAGAGGTTAGTGCTCTAAAACACCCAGTGGAATCAGCCAACCTTGCCATGCCCCAGGGACTAGAACTCCCCCCGCCCCCTTCTACATCAATTCTTTCCTTTCACTCTGCCCTGACTTGGGGTTGGTAGGAGGCCCGTGCCTCCACACAGCCCACTAACCCCTGCTAAGGACACTCTCACTGTAGCCAACAATAATTCTCTTTGCTTGGAGTTAAATTTATTCCTTACTTTCCTGCCGTTCTTGGAAAATTCCATTTTTCATCTGGTTGCATTTTCCAGATGCTTATTGATTCCGTTTACTCTTTTGTAAACATTTCCAAATTTTCCACATTTCTCCTGTGTTTTTATGTCCTAAATGGATGCAGTACAGAAGGGAACCACAGCTTCTGAGCAAGCCTAATTCTACCTGTGGGAGAAGGAAGAGCTAGCTACCTGCCAAATAGTATTTGCAAGGGAGGTCTCCCTCGTCCCCACTCTCTTTCAGCGTTGCTGCTGCAAAACCCAGCAATTCCACCCCCAAAACTCCTTCCTCCACAGCATTCTGTCCCACCTCGGTCATCTTGTCCCCTTCAAGATTTTGCCACACCGCGTCCCACTTGTGCTGTGTTCTACCCAATATTTTGCATAAATTGGCTGACTTTTTACTTAAATTTGCACAATACAGAACTTCATGTTTTTTTCTGTACATGGATATCTGGCATCACTTATCATAAACAGAAAGTCTTCATCAAAAATGCATACAACATGTTAAAACTATGAGAATGTCCCTTCTGTACCTGTGTCCTGCCAGTGACGTCAAGACATCCTCCCTCATGGGATGGTGTGATGTGGTCAGATCATTGAAGTCAGGATGACAGATTGCCTTCCAAATCATTGGGGAGCGAGGGCGGTCCCTTTCAGAAAGAGAGGTTTATAGGTCAGTACTGACAATGAAGAAGGAGGTGAAGATTGATTCAAGTTTTGAACACAGATGGGCAGCCCACCATGGGTGGCTCCTGCAATAGAATGACCTGGAATGAACCATTTGGGGGAAGGGAGGGGACCAAGATAAGAAACACAAACATACCATGTTGAAGAGACAGAGAGAAGGACCTGCAGCCAGGTCTACCTCATAGGTCTGTGGAACACAGACTTAATTTCGAGTAAAACAGGATTCTTCATCATTGAATTTATTCATGATGTATATAATGAGATCAGCATTTATACTCACTGCCCATTTGTGCAGAAATAGAACTGCAGTCAGGTTACCCATGGTCCTCTCTCTCTGCTGGCCTGCAGGCATGGGGGCCACTGTGCGGGTGGGGGGCTGAAGGCGGAAATGAAATAAACGTAATTTAGTCACTTCAGATGTAAAACTGGGTCTCCAAAGGGGCTCAGAATATGTCACCCCCCAAAATGCCACTATAGCATAAGAATTCTGTTAAGCTGAAGGCAATTGAGAAACAGCGGGCAGAGGAGGAACACTGTGCTCTCCTGTCTGCCTAACATCAGGCATAAATTTCCCTTTGAAGGGTGGCATAAACTTCCATTTGTAAAGGTAGCCCCTTTTCTTGTCCCTCCAGTCTGCATAG